AGACAAAGAATCCACTAACCATGCACTTTAAACGCATAACATCACTACATACAAATACCCATTCAGTGCCACAGAGATCGTCTTAATTTCATGAAAACTGCTTTTTGCATTATACGTATGTAAAAATCTTCCGCCATAAACATGCTTATTTAAAGGTTTTAACTGTTTCCTGTCTGCTGAATTCTTTCGCAGTTTTCTGTCAAGCCATGAACAAACCTCGACACTAATACAGCAGTGTTGCACGTGTAGGGGGAGCTCTGTACATGTTGTAGCATCGGCAAAGAACAGAAAATGATATCCCTGCCAGTGAGCTACATGTAGCGTTGCAGAAAGAAAAGAAAAACGCGGCTTGTAACAAGTTACAGCTTACCAACAGTAACGTCCAGGCTGAACATAGAATCAACAGTTACAAGAATAAACACTCCAGAGAGACAAGTGGGGGCTACTCACAGAGCAGAATCGAGTAAGGAACGGCAGAGTGGCGTAGCGTGTTTACTTTATAAAGAAAAAAGACATATTAGAAGTAACTTTATATTTAATAAAATATCAAGTTTTCAAGACGGTAACACTTCCATGGTGGTCTTCTTGATTCTGATGCCCTATGGACGTGTGGGTTGGTCCGCAAGGTTCGGAGAAAATTCAGCTTCAATCTTCAGGGTTGAAGACAGGATTTTAGCACTAAAGATGAGGTGGTATATTCCTCCAAAACCTCAGTACTCACCTACAGGTCCACAACACATTCCAACTAAGATCTCTTCACCTTTTCTCACGGTCTTCAGCCTTGAAGACGGAGGCAATATATTCTTAAGAAACATTGACACCCAGCTACAAGTACGTATCGTGTCATAATCCATAACACCAGCATGAACAACTTTTAGACTCACAAAAATAAAACCGCATAAGGAAGCAATGAAGATGGCTCAAAGGCCGAAATAAATTACTAGCATAGCGGGTGCAGATGGTAATACATTGTTCACAGATCATGGTGAGGCACTGTACTTCCCAAAGAATTTATGAACTTCTATTTTAATGGCTGTTTATGTAATAGGTTGAAAACGGATAACATTTGACGAAATATCGCTGTTAAAATAAAATTTACTTCCACACATAAATACTATGGCAAGTCGATCAAAGGCTCAAAAATTTAAGACTCTCCCCCCCCCCCAAGCGCCTACATGGCGCGTAACGAGAAGGCAAAAATCACCACTAATTATTTCGACTGCAGTAGAAGAGGAGTAACACATCGGAAAAGGTTACTTCGTACGAATAGCTTCATTTTAAATAAAAATTAGCAAAACTTGTAGTATATTCACAATACTGTGCTAACTACAGTTTATTAAGTTGTAAAGCGAATCAACTTTGTCTTTTAATCGATTTGTCTCAATAACACATTTATTATGCAAGTAATATAAATAATAGTCTGAAGAAAAATCAATTTTAACTTGCACGCACATTTTAATTTAGCCTTAGACTCATGATTATTTTTATATGACAGTAAACATCAAGAAGGTCCAACATAAAACTTTAAATTTAATTACTCAAGTTTTTGCGAAAAGGTCACCGCGTTTTACAACGGGTTAATTCTCTCCTGTATAATACTGTCATGGGTGTTATTGCTACCTCGTGAATTTAACGAAGTCGTTATGCCTTGAGAGATAAATCTAAATATGATATACGTATAAGATGTGTCAGCTAAGTTTGTTGTCAATATCGCTACTGTTCGTTATTTTTTGCTTCAAAATGTCAGAAGGCATCGATGCAAAGTAAAATGAGATCATCAATATTCTGGCACGTGGCGTTCACCGAAACAGACAGAGGGTAAATATTGTTTGCGCTTAGAAAAATAACGTTTTGATTTTGACCGTTTTCCGGAACGTAATTGAAAATTTTATGATAAATTTCAACCTATAACATGAGCACAATTTTGTAGGCTTTGTCTACTAAAGAGAAATTTTAGTTTTTAAATGGAAGAAATGATAAAAAGTACTTGTACCTTTCAGATAAACGATTTGTTTCGAAATGCAAGTTTATCATAATGAAAAAAACTGAGGAAATACGCGAAGGCACATCTGCTACATTTTTATGAACGACTTACGACCTGCTTTATTCACTACAAAATAAAGACAGACATTTCCACGTGTTCAAGTCTGCTCTAAATGTGTCAACAAACTGCAAGGCAAGAGATAGACTGATGTCTCTGATTGTTTCCCACGGCCCGGAGGTTAGGTTAGGTTACGAATGCTATAGTTTGTATGCAAAATAGAACAAAGACAGATTAGAAAGAAATTTTAACAACATGAAAACTAAGGAGAGACGGTGGCCTGCAGCCAGAATTATTACTGCTCTCTCTCTCTCGGAACAGAATACTAAAAAATCAATTTTTTTAACTTTACCATATATGGACATTAAACTAATAATTATTGAAACGATCAGATATAATATTACCAAATTACTACTTGAGAATATCAACAGTAATAACTGAAGTGATGTCATTTTAGGACAACTTGTTTATAAATAACACAATCGTAAAACAGATTTTTAATTTTAATTTTTTTCGGGGGGTACCAAATATAATTTCTAACTGATATATATATATATATATAAATAAAATAAAGACCCAAATATTATACATAAATGAGGACGAATTATACGTTAATTAAAAGAGATCTGGAAGAGACAGTCAAAATTATACGCTACAAATTTATGGCAAAGTCAACATTCATTTGGGGAAATGAAACATGTGCTGCGCCAATGAGAGAACAAAATCAGAATTATAGAGAAGAAACGTCACTTATTAAATCTGTTGCGTGTTTGTCTTTTAGATAAAGAGAAATGAGTATATAAGGAGAGAAATGGGGGCTTGTAAATTAAATGACAAAATTCAGCAATCTAGAAATTAATAGCTCGAACATAAACTTATAAAATGACTGGATCAATACACTTTACCAAGACAAAGATGGAGACACCGTCCTTGGAAAAGAACAAATGGTGTACCAATGAAGAAATGGAACAAATTTTTGGAGCCATAATAGGTTCAAACCTAGTTTAACGTTGATGGCAATAACGTTATTAGTAATGTACGTTGTTTATTTAATTATATCATATTTATCACTTGATTAATAAGATATTTATACCAAAATAATATTTGTGGGATTCATGAAGGCTTAAATCTTGTAATACGCCAGGGAAATGTATCCAGTAAATATTTCTGCATCGAAAAAGTAACAAAATATTCAATTACATTTGTCTAATAGGTTTTTCTTCTGCACAGTATTCAACCAAAGCGTTCATAAACGTTCTTCAACTAGACTTGTGTTATTCAGTAACACTATTTTAAATGAATTGGCAAAAGGCTATACCACTGAATTGGTGGATAATTATGAATTCTTAAGACCCTTCTGAAGATACTTTATCAGCATATTC